AGCCTGTATTATTTATTGATTTTATATACATTATTTACTTTCTGACATTATTATAACATTGACCACATTTCTATCTGACATGCTTCTGACATTACATTATGTTTGTTCTTTCGACTCCTTTTCTTTGATTTTGACCCTGCTCGTCTCAACTGAGGTGATGGCTGAAAATCATTTCGGTGATTTCAATGCACTGGGCCTAGACCCTTTCTCTCTGCTACACACAGGTACATGACTTATTCGTAGTTAATATCTTTTCTATAATGTCTTTATTTATTTTTATTCTCTGTATAATGTGGTTGTGTGTTGCAATTAGAATAAATTAATTATCTATCTATCTATCTAAAGACAAAAAGTTTGCATGCGAATGCCTAGGACGAAATAAACAGTCGGTGGTACGACGCACCGTTACAGTATGAGGCAAGAAAAGAGGAATAAACGAGAGAACTGACATGAAAGAGAACCTAGCAAACAATAAAGTTAAAGAAAAAATAAAACAACGAGACAAAAGAAATCTTCGTGGAGAGGCTAATATATCTCCCGTTGAAATATGAAGCATAAAATTCTAAACAATAGTAAGTTTTAATTCATCAAAAAGTGGTGCAAACAACGTGAATTCATGTAAAGAACATGAACGTGAAGGTGACCCTATTTCTGACGCCGCGGGTTTGAGTCTGGGTGTTGTGTGAGGGTACCTCTCGTTTCAGATTTCCATAATACAAAAGCTACTCAATTTGAAATTTTATCGTGTTATATTTTATATTATATTGCTTTCAATTACCATATTATTGTGGTAATACTAATGTGGTCCTATCTTTTTCAGATTTGAACAAATAGTTTTGACACCTCCACACAAAACGATGCTGCGAAAATCTGTTTCTAAAGAACTGGGTAACTATTTAAATATATTAAATATTTGTGATAATAATTCTTCAGTATTTTTGTCTATAAACTTTATCAAAATTATTAAACCACTTAAAATTAACATTGCGTTTTTAGTTTACACTACAAAGAAAAGAAATTCGGCATACACACCCTTGGAAACGAGAAAATAATTAATTTTACACACCAATAAAAAAATTAACTACTTGCCCATAAACAAATGCGGGATATGGAAATATTTAGATATGCAAAAGAGAAACATGATCAAAATATGGCTCATAAAACACAGATTCATGAACCTTTGGAACATCACGAAAAACAACATCAATTGGAGATACAATAAAAAAAACATAATATGTATGATCTCATAATAAAAAAGTGTGAATATGTAGCTGAATAAACGAAATTGCAATTAAAGATTATATGTAAATAAATTTCTGTTTTATTTTATTCAAAATTGAAAACGAAAACTAAACTGATAATAATTGGACAAAAATAAAGATCACAAACAAAACAAAAATCAAAATATCGTTTTAAAAAGGCGTCATCTAGTGATCATCAGCAAATGCAATATTTTCGTGTGCTTGTTTGTGTTACAAACATAACATAATTAGCTACAACGATTGTACCAGTTTGAATTACAAAAAATAATCCTGGGTAAACAGCTTAAATAATTTTGGGTAAGGATTCATATTATGCGGAATATACGAGTAATTACAATGACAAATTGAATAGTAAACAATGGTTACCATAGTAAAGTTTCAGTACCCTATACTAACTTTCACTCCTAATTTCATTCCTTTATGTGCTATTTTTCGGGATAAATTTTAAGATAGACATATGCTGTCGCGGATACTTTTTAAGAACTTTTAAGGGGAACAATTTCGTAATACATGTTTTTTTTTGCGAACCTTTCACTGTTTACGAAGTGCACGCAAGGAAATCTTTCAAAAAGAAATATTCTCCACTTTTAGCAACATTTTTCATTGCTGTTCCACTCCTATTATTCATAGAGTGATGTTATATTAAAGCCTTCCTCGATCAAAGGAATATTCAACACAAAAAACAAATATTCAATTCGAACTAGTAGTTTCTGATATTAGCAAATTCAATCAAACAAACTCTTCAGCTTTATTATTAATATATATATATATTATTATTATTAGCTTAAAAATGAAAAAAAATTGTACTCACTCAAATTCTATACCATTTTTAATTTGCCTCCAAATTCAACCTGTCACAATAACAGTAACATTTTTAAAAGCTTGCTGCATGACATGAACTTTCAAAAACAGATACAGTATATAATCATAACAGTTCCTCTTTAACGGAAATTACAACACTTAGAAACCTTTGAAAAAAATTAAAAATTCTTGCAATAGATATAAAATATCATATTTTATTATTATAAATTTAAACGTTCTACCTTTTTCTTTACTCTAGAACTATGTCTAAGTACAGTTTGTGTTACATTATCTTTTCCTTGACTTTCCTACTTTGAACACAGTCATTATTTAAATCATCACTTTCCGGTTTTAAACCGGTGCTGGTGGCTAGAAACTCCAAAGAATTATTATTTTCAGCCTCTATGCTCATACCATGGTTGTTAATATTATCTTAAGAAGGATCATATAATGAATTATTTGTACTTGACATTCCTTAGCATTATTACATTTATTTTGAACTATAGAAGGAGAAAAAAACTCAGCAACAATCGGAATCTCTGGTTCCTCAAAATCTTTCATTTCGCTTATTTGGTCGATGTGTCTACGCCATCGTCCAGTAAAATTTAATAATGTAATTTTCCTAATCTTTCTACAATTTCCGAATTTCCATTTAATGTTATCCGTATAGTATTGCTATTTTATTTTTCTGTTCTAATACAAAGGTGTCTTTTTTAGTTGTCACTAACAAAGTCAATGTCGATCGTAATTTATAAGAAAGAATTAATTCACTCGTCGATTTACCTCGTATGGGGTTTGGTGTTAATTTGTAATAAAATAATATTTTATTTACTTTCTCATGAATGTCGTTTTGATTTGCCTGTAATGACTTTAACTTTTTTTTCAATATCTGTACAAATCTTTCCACTTTCCCATTAGAAGATGGATTATAAGGAGCACTTCTTTTATGTACAATTCCTTTCTCTCTCAAAAATAAATTAAACTTAGGGTTTACAAATTGAGGTTCATTATCACTAACTAAAATTTTGCATAACCAAATCTACCGAATACTTCATCTAACACCTTCATAGTATATTCTGTATCTATTTTATTTAGTACAAATATTTCTTAGAGTAAGCAACAATCAATAAAAATAAAACCCTAGTAATTTCCCTGCAAAATTTATATGTATTCTTTCAAAAGTCGTTGATGGGTATTCCAAATGGTGTTATTCTATTTTAACTGGATTGTTTTTATTCAAACAACATTCTCTATTTCTAAAAGTTTTAATGTCAATAACAATGTTTGGCTGCCAACAAAAACTTCTAGCTAACAACAACAGCCTAGTAAACCCAAAATGAGCTGAATGTAAGTCTTGTAAAATTTTATGTCTTAATTTTTCGGGAATCACAACTTTACTACCTCTCATTACAAAACCACTTTGTAAAGAAAATTCTAATTGATCTATTCCTAACCTTTTTCGTTACATAATTTCTTTCCTTCTTCTAATCCCTTCGTAAGTACTTTCAATTTAATATCATTTATAGTTTCTTTTGTTATATCTTCTGCTGTGATTGGTAAACTATCTATTTGGTTAAATTCAACAATATCTGAAGCTTCTAAAAGACTTCTAAAAGTGCTGACATATGTGGCAGCGGACCAGATGGTGAAAAGATTTGAAGCAGCGGTTTATGGTCGATTCCAGCAGAGAGGCATCCGCTTCTCAACTTTTCGTCCGCATAATACCTCCTGGGTTTTCCCGCGCTTTGCCTCATAAAGCCGCAAGGTCTCTTGGATTCTGAGATTCAGCAGAAGCAATCCCGACAGTATCAGCCCAGCGTTAAGTGAGACAGTTCTGTAATGACTTGGCGTTCTTCTGCGCGAACCCTCTTAGCACCGCGTTCAGTGCCTACCTGCTTTTTCACTTTTTAGCTTCTGATCCCCACACACTCTCGGCATACAATATTATCGGTTCTAAAACTGCTAAGTAGATGGTTTGAATCAGCTCAGGGCTTAGGCCGCAGGTAGTCCTAGCCGCATTTGCAATGCCTTTGTATTAGATGTTAATTTTCTGTCTATGGTGACTCCAAGAATTTTTATTTCTTGTACAATTTTTAGTTTAGTCCCTGCCATAATTAGATCGGGGTTTTCATATCTTAGTTTTCTGAACATTACCATGGCATGTCTTGTGAGCGGTGAAGTTCAACTTGTTGTTAAGTTCCCATTAGTGAACCCTAGTCAGCTCTGCGTTTGCTTTATCCTTTATGTTTTTTGTGTTTTTCCCATTCACTACCAGGACCATGTCGTCCGCAAAACCCTGACAGTATATTCTCTACTTGGTCAGCAGGCTTACTCTTGAACGCAATCTCAATGTCAATTGCAATCCAATCCAATAACGATCTCAAATTTCATATGATCTTAACTGCTACTCTTGAAACGCAACTCTTGAGTATTGGAATTGAATTAGGATTGCGCTTAGTATTGAGACTATACACATGTTAGCAGCAATAATGGCTGTAATAGAGACGTTCCTTGTAATTTGACTATGTCCATAATGCTAACTGAACAGAAAACTATAAACTTACTCCAACTTTTTTATTATCAAGGTACACTAAAACATAATAATCAATAATGGGTTGTAATTTTTCCTTTTATTTTTGCCTTTTAAACATTAAATCTGTATAAATTTACTTATTTTTGGCTGTTGATGCGATCCCTTTGCCAATGTCTAAAAAAATAATTTATAAACATATTTGCCGCTAAAAAGGTTCTATCTCGTGAAACGTTACGTATGAAACTTCCAAACTAAATTACAAAATATAGTTTATGTGTATTGGAGTTCTTTTTGGAATCGGTAAGTAGATACAAAAATTATTTTAGAATTGTTTAACGTTTGTATCTGAGATGGATCGCTTCGCCTATTAGTTGTATTGCATTTTTATATTTTCAGAATTAAAAATGCCTTCCCGTCCTTCGCATCTACAAGTAGAAGGACTTGTAGAATTTTTAGAGCAAAATCCAAATATTGCCAAGGGCTTATTAAAGACGGCTCAAGGTAAAACGGAAACGAAAAGAAAGTGGGCTCAAATTGCAGTCACTTTGAATGCACTCGGAGGAGTTAATAAAGATGGCGCCGGCTGGGCAAAAGTAATTTTCATTTATTTATTTTATTTCTTTCATTAAGATTAAAGAAATAAAATTATCTTATCTGAATATATTTTTACAGTATTGGGCTGAAAAGAAATGCTTATTAAAGAAAATTTGCAGCAAGCTTTCAGCTTCATTAAGGCAAAAGGGGGGAGGTACCACTGATCTTACACAATTGTCCGATATGGATAAGCGGTTCGTGACAGTAATGGGTGGACAAAGTTTTGCTTGTGGAGATAGCCAGCTAGCTATCAACCCTTTCCCACAAATGGTATAAATTATTCTGATAGCATAATAATAAATATTTACTTTTTATCGCCTTATGGAAAATAATTAATACTAAGTTTATATTACAGCATTTGACATCAAAAACTGCAGTAATGGAGACTCCACGAGACTTTGCAAATGAAGTTCAAGTAGAAGTTGTTGTTCTGCCTTCTCCTTCCCCAACCACATCACAAGTTGTGCCTCCCTCTTTGTCACCAGAACTACCCACTCGTCCAAGTAAGTTTATTCGTAAATATATGATATTAAAATATAATACATAAATGTACATGCTCAGAAATTTCTTAAAAATGTAGTTTATAATTTAGTTGTTTAATATAGTATCTATAAATAAATAAAAAGAACTTATAAGTGACTTTTTGGAAAGGATTTTGAGAATACCGACCCACCTCTTTTTTCAGATTATATTTATTTGCTAGAATATAGATACAATAAACGATAGTATTAACAAAATAATCATGAATAATAATTAAAATAAATATCATTTCTAAAAAATGCATAAAAATCCACTCTGAGATGGGATGGTATAGTATTGTATTTATTGTAAATGCAAAATTCAAACGAAATCAAATTTACTAATTAAATTTTTTTTTTTGGATCCAGCTACAAATACATAGGGTGAGGTGTTGAACAGTGGCTATGCCAGATACAGTGGCTCAGTAACAGTATGAGGGTATAGGATAAAGATATAGAACTGCCTCTTTCACTCATAGGTAGTATTTGGGATACCAACTTGTCACAACTAGTCGAGCAGCGCCTACGCCGCGGAGTGTGTGTGCTACAAGCATTTATTATAATTTTGAAAAATATATTTACTTTTAAGGTAAGATATTTTCTGTTTCAACTCAAATATAGGTTTTTTTTTACTATTGCTTCATTTCAACTGTTGATAGTATTAAACAAAGGTTATTTTCACGTATAAAAACATTTGATATTATGAATATTATTTTACCTACATGCTTTGGAATTCAAAATGGCGATTTCGTACACAGTGGCTCAATCAACGAAGGTACACAGTGGGTCTTGATTCACTGTGTACTACTGGATTATTGTACTACTGGTGTGATTTTATCAACTTAAATAAGAAAGTGTTACCTACTAATTTAATATTATGCTTACTTACAATAATCATACTTATTTGTCGCTTACGGACGTGTTTTTGGTTTTGCTAAAATTAGGTTCTTTTATTTTTAGGATGCCACGTTCAGAAAAACCCCGTTCTATCGGGGCCCACACTGAAGAAAATATGAGAGATGCTTTGCAGGCAATACAAAGAGGTATGAGTGTGAGAAAAGCATCAAAAGATTACAACATTCCTTTTACTACTTTAAGGCGATATTACCTGAAATCAAAACATTTTTCTTCTGTTGAATCCATGCGGTTAGTACCTCACTATGACGTAAATAAAGTATTTTCTAATAATCAGGAAAAGAGTCTTAAAGAATATAATACATATTGTTCGGCTTTATTCTATGGTATGACATCAAAAGATACAAGACGGGTCGCATACGAAATGGCAAAAAATAATAATTTGAAAATGCCTGAAAGCTGGAATGTCCAAAAAATGGCGGGAAAAGAATGGCTGCGGAGCTTCATGCGAAGGCATCGAGACATTAGTTTGAGAAAACCTGAAGCGTGCAGTCTTGCACGCGCCACAGCCTTCAACAGGTCAAATGTTGAAGTATTTTTCAATAACTTAGAGATATTGATGAAACGATACCCAGAATTAGGAGCAAATCGTATATTTAACTTAGATGAAACATCCACTACCACTGTACAAAAGCCTCAGCGTGTAGTGGCACCCAAAGGTCGCCGCAATGTAAGTAAAGTTACGAGTGGAGAGCGAGGAACTCTCGTAACAACTTGTTGCATCATAAGTGCGGGTGGTATAGCACTACCTCCTGTTATGGTGTTTCCAAGGAAAAATTTTAAAAATTTTATGATCAAAAATACACCTCCTGGTACTTTGGGGTTAGCAGCATCAAGTGGTTGGATGAATTCAGAAATTTTTCCAGAAGTTATCCGGCACGTAATAAAACATTCCAATTCTACACCTGAAAATCCTTGCATATTAATAATGGACAACCACGAGTCGCACTTGTCGTTAGAAGCACTAAATTTGGCCAAAGCTTCAGGAGTTCACATTTTAACTTTGTATCCTCATACATCAGCAAAATTACAACCTCTCGATGTTGGGATCTATGGCCCATTCAAGACCTATTATAACGGAGCCATAGATTCATGGTTGATGCAACATCCTGGAAAACCTGTAACCATTTATGATGTAGGCGAAATAGTTGGTACGGCCTTCCTCAAAGTAATGACACCAGTCAATATTATTAATTCGTTTAGAAAATGTGGGATTTACCCATTCGACCGCAACATTTTCACTGAAGATGACTTTATGCCAAGTACAGTGACAGATCGCCCGTGTCCTAATGACGAGGATCAAATTGTAAATTCACCTGATCATGATACCACCGCCGACGCTCCGATGCTCCAAGCTCCTAGTTGCTCCGATGACGCCGAGTTACCTATTCACAATCAGTCACCAATCCCTACTTGCTCAAACTTTATTGATAATTTGAATTTAGCAAATGAACCGGCTACCAGAGAAAATTCACCATCGATTATTATTAACTTTTTTGCTGAAAATAATTTGGACTTAGAATTAGGATCACAATTAGATTCATCAAGACATATTTCTCAAATACTGACGGAATCCACTTTACAATCTAATACTTTAAGCAAACCTATTGAATCGCCGATGCGTACCACTGAAGTAAGGAAGAGCCCTCATTTTATATCCCCATTTGAATTTAGGAATCCTATTAAAGCTGGGCCTAGAAAATCTGAACGGAAATCCAGAAAATTAGGACGTAGTATGATAGTAACTGATACCCCCGAAAAACAAGAAATAGAAAAGGCTAAATCTAAAAAAAAAGTACATCCAAAACAAAGAAAAGTGATAAAGAAGGTGTTACAAAGTGACTCTGAAGATCAGAGTGAAGAAGATCAAAACATTAATGTAGAATACCAGGAATCAGATGAAGATAACGAGTGGCCAGATGATGACATCGAAAATGAAACAATTTGTTTGACAGAAAATGATTTCACTGATCCTCTACCAAGACCGCCTCGAGAGGGTGAATTTGTTTTAGTAGAGTTTTCTACTAAGAAGCAAAAAGTTTTTTACATTGGCAAAGTGCTAGAAAGCAGAAATCATAATCTTGACTATTACATTAGCTATCTGCGTAAGAAGGCCCATGGTAAATATGCCATGCCTAATAATCCTGATTTGTCGATTGCAAAAGAGCGCGATATTAAATATATATTGCCAAAACCCACTTTTGGAGGCAGCACCATGAGACAGCAATCTTATTATTGCTTCCCAATCGATTTTTCGAACCTGAATGTTCATTAAAATGTTATAGTTTCGTTTTACTTATTAATTATTAAGAGATTTAAGAAGTTGTTTTGTTTGATTATATTTGATTTGTTTTGAATTGACATTTAGTCGATATAACCAAAAAAGCCATTTGCATTTAATATTGCAATGTAGGTTGTAATTGCATTGCAATTATTTTATTAATATTTTATTTCTTTTTGGATGCATATTTACTTAGTTACCTAGTTTGTATGACTAAAGAGTCCTAGTGCATTTTATATTTAAGTTTTTTTTAGTTTAACTAAATAAGTTCAAAGTGTTCTTATTTTTTTAATGTTGAAGATGTTTATTTGAAGAGTTGAAGAAGATATTATTGTGATCTCTAATATTGTGACTGATTTTATTACATATTGTACCTAAGAGTTCAAATACTTAATTAAAAACTTGATACTACAGTTTTTTATTTCATTTTAGATTCAATTATCCACTGTTACTGCCCCGATCCACTGTGAACATTAGGGCGAGCCACTGTTCAACACCCAGTGTACACAGTGGCTCATTTTTGACTTTTAAAAAAAGTGTATACATAGTATTATTTTTAACGCTATTCATAAAAACAAGTCACCTACATTAAACTAGATTACATTTCCTACCTACTATCTCAATTTTCGTCTTTCTAACTCAATTCAGAGCTGAGCTACAGCCTCTGGAAAAAAAGTATAGCTCGGCCACGACCGCGCCGTCGCATCATTCGAAATGCCGATTTAAAAATAGATCGCATGGCAAGGATCGAGGAACGACGTGTAGAAGCTGAGAGAGTGACTGCTGAAGCACTAGCAGCCTCTAGCAGTAGAATTGATAGGCTCGCTGATGCAATATTGGAAGTGGCAGCAGCCTTAAATAACATTGCAAATAGCTCTGTGATTTGATTTAAAAGTAGAGTTTTATATTATATTTGTTATTTGTTATGTTTATGTTGATTAAATATGTATTCCAAAAATCAATTAAAGAGTTTGTTATTTAATGATACCATTTTTAAATAACTTAATTGGATGAAGTAGTACAAATTATTTTAGAGTAGAAATTGTAGTTCCAATGCCAGCTACCTCAACGATTAATAAATCATACACATTTTTGTATTAAACGTTTTAAGTTGAAGTTTATTTAGGAAAATCATTGAGAACATTATACCTGTCTTATAAATAGATATAATTCTATTGCTGTAGAAAAATTAAGGTAGGCTAGTGTTTATAAGACTGAATGAATAAAAATGCCATACATGTTAAAATTAAAAGTTTAATGAAATTTTATCTGCGAGCTGCCCATAATTGCTGAACTAATAAAAATCGCTTTTCAACACCTCGTCTTAATTCTAATTATTTTATGAATAAATGATTTGTTTACCTTACTTCCTACAATGCAATACTCACTTTAAATTTTGGTGATATAACACTTTATCCCTTTGGAAGTGGCAAGTAGGGCCGCAATTCGTCGTAAATAAAATTAAAAAAATCTTTTGTGACCCGGTAATTGGAAACAAACTCGTCGTCACCCATGGAAAATGATTTATCCATATATCGAGACAAGCGACGCTCATTATTTCGGAGTTTTATTTCTTTTCTTCTGGCATTCCGTAGAATAGAAAAAGAAAGTGCTAAACGGACCATTATTTCGTACTATTTACTTTACCGTAGCTATTTAAACTACACAAATTACCAAACACAAAGTCTACAAAGTACCTTTTTTGTTATTGCGTTTATCAAAATATCAGTACAATTTTATTTTAATAAAATCACAATCGCAACTGTCAAAATAACGTCAAGAGTAGGAAATAAAACATAGACTCAATGCATACTCAATGTCAACTAGTCCATTAAATAACCACGCAATATGGAGTCAATTGGCGCTAGTGAACCAAATCAAGAGTACGAAACGTCACAATTGCAATGTCAATCGATCGCGATTGCATTCGAGAGTAACCCTGCAGGTCGTTAAGGAGAGTGTCCAACAGTATATTCCAAAACAAGGGACCGTCAATCGAACCTTGCACGCATCCCTTGTTAGTGGCCTTTGTGAATTTTCTCCCGCGTATATGAGCGCGAAGCTGTGGACGACACCTCTCAAATTAACAGGACATTTCCTTATTGTTAGTTGTCCAATGATATCAATACTATTATTTCTTTATTTTCCAATTTATTCTTGATTCGCTGGACCATATCGTAGAGGTAGTCCTCCGTCTTCGCTGTGATATTTACCCCGTACTGCCTAGGGTTCAGTTTATTGAGAATATGCCACTTTAGTCTCGTAACCAACATCTTTTTAAAATTTTCCCTAGAATTGATAGTAGTCCTATAGATCTCTAAGACTTTGGGTAACGTAATCTTATTTTCCTGGTTTTCTCAATATAATCACGATTGCTCTCACGCACACATTGACAAGTATACAAATACGCGTTAACCACAAGTAAAGCCTTCACTAGCCTTCGTGAGTTGCAAGGACTGTGCACATATGTTTACCTCGGTATCTTATATTACGATTTTTTAAAGTATGTCTGGATAGTTTCTTATATTACAATTTTTTAGAGTATGTCTGGATAGTTCAGGATATCAATGACGAAGAAATAGAAATATTATTTAACGCACTGTCGTTTTGATTTCTCTGGAGACGACGATAACGATGAGTATTTGCCTCCAGAAATACTTTAAAATCCTCAGCAGCGGGAGGAATATGTAGAAGAGGTGCCGTCTGAACAACATACGGAAGAAGTGGTTCAAAGTTCCTCACGATTGTTTTGGCCTACAAAGGAGATGTCATGTCGAGGTCCAGATATAGCAAATGACTAAATTATTTCCCAGGGTCCCTCTGAAAAAAATGTTCTATAGTCTTTTTTTCGAATATCTAAAGCAAGATTTTTGGGAATTAGTCGCCGAACAAACAAATTTATCCTCCCCACAAAAATGTGAAACGGGTGTATTATAATGGATGGGGACACTAAAGTATCTATTTATCTGACGGGGATAGTTATGACGAATAGAATAGGATCAGTTACCAGCAAGTTGAAGAAAGACAAGCAGTTTGCAAGAGGTGATGGGATAAAAAGTGAGAAGCGATGAAAATATATCTGTTCTAAAAAGCAAGTACACAAACTCAGTTACAATGCTTTCTACGTGAGTAGGGAGTGAACCTATTGATAGCTACAAGCGTTGGTGCATAATCCAGAGGCGAAAGATTGATGTAAATCACCCAGCTATTGTGAAAAAATATAACAACTGCATGAGCGAGATAGATTAGTACGATAGAATGATGGCATACAAAGAAATGCCTTCTGTCACTTTTTAGATTTGGTAGTCGTGAACTGCTGGACAATATACACACGCTGCTGTAAGAAAGAAAATATAAAGACGAAAGATAAGTAGCGATTACTGCAGTGCAGGTTCGAGTTTCGCAAGGTGATAATGAAATACGATGATGGGCGATGTGATCCTCAATTCATTACCACTGGCCTTAAGACCCAGACACGACTCTAGCTATACAGGTGTGCTCAGCCCCATCTCTACTGAAAGAGAGACCTACGCTGAACTGCGCTGAACCTCCAGCAAAGAAAAACCGGCCGATCGTCTCACTGCATCTCGACGATCGTATCAGAAGTTAGGCTCGACAACGTAGGGCACCAGCCGCGTTATGTAGAAGCTAAATTTCGCGTCTAAATGTAGACACTCAACATGTTTCACACACACAAACACAAACACACACACACACACACACACACACACACTCACACACACACTCATACACACACACTCATACACACACACACACACACACACACACACACACGCACACAATTCGCGTCTTGCTGTATTTGGTCGAGGTTAATTTTTTTTTAAAGGTTTTAAATAATGAAAATCCGTAATTGGCATTATGTTAAAATTGTTCTACTATTATTTAGATAAAAACTTGCTGTGGATTTTTTTCTTAAAATAAATAAATAAAATAAATTAGTAAATCGCTATTTTGATTGTTTTTGTTTTTCGGTCAATAAAATCAATAAATCAAATTTTAAAACGGTAACATCCCGTCTTTACAGTATTTTTTGGCACGCAAGTGTGTTAAAAGCTTTGCATAATGCATGTATTATATTATATCACAAATCACATGACAGTTGCACAAACTTCCATTAAAATTTTTATTAGTTTAAAGCGTCATTACCCTTACAAATTTGACATTCATTATAGCTAGGCATGTGCGCCGATGATGAAATCTTCGGCGGCGGCGTGGAGCAAACAATTCAATGGCGGCGGCGTAAACGGCGTCGTTACGTCAAATGATGGAAAATTAAAAATTAAACAATTCGGAATGCCTTTATTAACATAACAAATATAATAGGTAATAAAACTAATAACTTCTTTTAAATAACAATCAAATATGTCACAACCATGCTCTTCTAAATTATGTAACGTAGTCATAATGATATTAAACTACAATTTTTAGCAATCCATGGGTCCAAGGTCATGGATTTAAGTCCCATCTAAGAACGCCGGAGACGAAGTGGATTATTTAAGCTTTTTTCATTAAAAATATAATTCTAAACATTTTCAATAAAATTTACTTAAAATTTAACTAAAGTATGTAGGTACTAGACGTGTGCACCGCGCCGCGCCGATGACTGACGCCGACGATCATAACACGCCCCCGCTGACCGGTTAGAAAGATCAGCGTAAACGGCGCGGAATGGTACGAACTGCGAGTAACATTCGTTTGCTCGGTTGCTAAGCAACGTAGTGCATCCTCTGCGGCACGTGTTAATTCCGTATTCCATCCGTATTTCCATGTAAAATATAATTTTAAAAGTAAAATTTTAATGAATACAAAAGTAAAGTCAATGATCAGATGCAAACAAATAAACAAATGAATCTATCTTCTTTAATTACAGCTATCAACAATGAAATCTTGTACAATTAAATGCTACATTAATGTAGCACTGCAATGTAACGTTTACAAGATGGAGTTAGCAGAAATCATAAATTCAATAATTACCCTTATTTGTCTACTCTAGCTAACCCGCTACAAGCACACCTAGCGAACGTGTATTTTCTGTAGCTGGCCTTACTAAAACGGCTAAATGATTGCGTCTAACTGGGAATAATATCAATGAAATAATTTCTATACATGATAACTATTAGGTTGGGGAAAAGTGTTTTCGCATATAGTATGCAAAGTTATAATACAATGTACTCGTATAATTTGGCTACAATGTACGATTTTCTTTTGGTGTTTGTATAAATAACGACTTTGCTAGAACAACGAACTGATTTTCTCTTAAAATATTGGCCTCTGACTGTAATTTACGAACCTACGAACGACAACTTGGCATTCGTACACGGATTTTGTAAACTGAAATGGATTCGGATTTTGATTGTTTATTTTGTGTCAACTGTGGCTCAGCCTCTGGTTGTAAATTGTTACAAGATGAACAAATTCTCTACTACATACAAGAATGGACTGCTCCACGTTTAGTTAGTAAGATTTCTTATTTTGTTGTCGAGATTAACTCTTCTCAATATCTTTGTATTATGTTTTATCTGCACGGGTAGCACAGTGATTCAAACGGTCGCTTTTCCGCTATACTACCGCGCCGAGTGCTGTGGGATTGATCCCCACACAGGACAACACTTTCATCCGTAAATTGTTGTTCAGAGTCTAGGTGTACTTATATGTTTGTAAATTTCTCCGCGACACAGGATTTATTCCTAGTGCGCGAGATGTCTTTTCAAAAAAAGAAAGAAACCAGATACTGATCGTTGGATCAATGGTTTTAATAACGGAGAACATAATTTGAATGTAATATAACTATGTGAACATGTCTAGTCCTAGTCAAAACAATTCTGTCTTAATAATTTTATATCTAAACCTTGTGCACACATGGATA